GATCTCATTGCCCACCAGAAAGGACAGATAGAGAAGCAGCCACCATTTGAGATCTACTTATGCTTTGGGGAAGAATGGCCAAATGGGAAACCCCTGGAAAGGAAACTCATCGTGGTTCAGGTCATTCCAGTGGTAGCTCGGATGATCTACGAGATGTTTTCTGGTGATTTTACACAGTCCTTTGACAGTGGCAGTGTCTGCCTGCAGATCTCAACTCCAGACATCAAAGATAACATCGTTGCTCAACTGAAGCAGCTGTACGGCATCCTCCAAACCCAGGAAAGCTGGCAGCCCATGCAGCCCACCCCCAGCATGCAACTAGCCCCTGCCCTGCCAGCCCAGTAATCATGAATGCCATCTTTTTTACAGTATTGTACATATAGGTATTTTTTATTACTCAGATTTAACCAGCTTTTAAACTTCTTCTTTCTAACAATGTTAGTGGCCTCCAATTCTCCACATATGCCTGGCTTTTAAAGTTGATTTAATTTATGGAAAAATCACCCTTCTTATTCCCCCTTTCTTTTTTAAACCTCGCAATGTTAGTGTAATGTAGTAGAGGGAGATTTGGCCTGGGACTTTGGACAACAGCGTTCTAGCTGCAGCTTTGCTTCAGTGGTATGACCTTGAACACCAAGTCATTTAACCTCTAGGCTTCAGATTTATTACTGTAAAACGAAGGGGTTGGAATAATGCCTGAAATAATGCCAGTTAAAACTCTGACCTGATGACTTCACTCTACTTGTACAAGGCAGAACTGCCTGGAACAGAACCCTTCTGCATTGTTCTTGCACCACATTTTTTTCTTGCTTTCATTAAATTTCCCTCAAGCAAAAAAAAAAAAAAAAATCAGATCTTTTGGGCCCTCTGATTCACTATATAAATTCTAGAATCAGCTTTTTAATTTCCACCAAAAAAAAAAATGCTGAGATTTTTGAGTGCAAATGAAATGAGTCTATAGATCCATTTAGGGGGGTTGATATCTTTAAAATGTTGACTCTTTTCATCAGTGAACATCCCTTCATTTATTTAAGTCTATGATTGTCCAATAATGTTTTCTCGTTTTCTTTTTTGAGGATTTGCCTAAGTACTTGATACTTTTGATGCTATTTATAAAGGGCATTTAAATTGTTTTTTATTTTTTAAAATATTATAGTCTTTGTTGGTTAGAAATAAAACTGATTGTTTTTATATGACCATATCTGTAGACTCTTGGGATTTTCTACATAAAGAAATGTATCATCCACTAATAATGACAATTTTATTTATTATTTTTCAATCATACTTCCTTTTTTAAACCTTATTGCTCTGGCTAGAACTATAGTATAAAGTTGAATGGAAGTGGTGAGTGCAAGAATTCTTGTCTCATTTCTAATCCCAAAAGTTTTATAAGATATGACTAAGTCAACTTCAATAAATTATACTATATGACTTTCCAAAATCGTTTTATGATTTTGTACTTCCAATGACAGGGCAATAGTTCTAGTGGGAATACTAAGCATCTATGTGAATCTAGACTTCTGATAGTCTGTTTTTATATTTCTCCATTCTCCCTTCCGTTTCAAAATTCAACCACTGGAAGAAAAAACAAAACCATTACAGAGATTTGCTTCTGAGCATGAAGTGAAAACGAAGAGGTTTGAAGACAGGGGTGGGGTTGGACAGAAAGCAAGATTCAGAAGGATGTATTTGGTTTACTCCATATTCTTCCATATTGTTACATTCCTCATATCCCTAGTATATTCTAGTGTGTCATTTTTAATTCCTAGGAAAAGAATTGGGAAAAAAGAAGGGTAAAATAAAAATAGTATTTTAAATGAATGAACTTGAAAACATTAAAATTACTTAAGTGTACATGAGCAAAGATGCATTTTTATTTTTACTTCACAGGATCTTGGCTAATGACACAGAAAAAGACCAAGTGCAGGTATGTACTCCACAAATCTGGATATAATTGCATCCTTCCACTGCCCTCATAGTCTGAGGCTTTCCTTCACACCCAAGAGAGGCTTGTGGCAAAATAATATATGAAGAAGACACATCTTCACAAACTTATACTTCATTTGAAGTTTTTTATTTTAGGTTTTCTACAAATTATTTGGATATTTAAGTGTGGGTTTTATAACATTGAATAATTATCTGGATCTGAATGTGTGTTTTAAAAAAAAAAACTGATTTTCTTCCCAATACAATTTCATAGTGATTTTCCACTGATGAAAAACCACAGTCATATTTCTTTTCCTACGTATTTTGAAAAATGAAACTAATGAGACTCTGGAAGCCAGACAGTATTTCATCTTCAAAAATGCACTTAAACATAATTATATTCAGCTCTCCCCCACATTTTTACCTGCTTTGAAGCTCTCTTCCATGGCACAAAGATTTTATTGGACGATATTGGAGAACTTATCAGCTGGCATGGTGTTAATTCTATGTTGTCAGTATAGCTTTCGTTGGTGCAACAAAAAGAAAATTGCATGATATTCTCCTTTTTAAGTCCAATTCTTATTACAAGTTTTGTGTACTTCTCTCTCTTCCTTGGCAAAAATTTTCTTTTAAAGAATGCCAAGTTAGGGGGCGCCTGGGTGGTTCAGTTGGTTAAGCGACTGCCTTTGGCTCAGGTCATGATCTTGGAGACCTGGGATCGAGTCCCACATCGGGCTCCCTGCTCAGCAGGGAGTCTGCTTCTCTCTCTGACCCTCTTCCCTACTCATGCTCTCTCTCTTTCTCTCTCTCTCAATAAATAAATAAAAATCTTAAAAAAATAAATAAATAAATAAATAAACAAAGAATGCCAAGTTCTTATGTGAACCTGAATGCAATGGTAATGAAAATAGTGTTTGAGTGGGTTCTTGGACTCCTCATCTGAACAGACTGGCTAGAAGACTGGCCTTTTGGTACAGGAGGACTCCTGAGCGTGTCCTTTTAGTGCGATCCTTTCTCTAAGCCATCCCTTTTTATGAAAGGATGCTTTATTGAGCTATTGTTCTATTTGTAAATGGCTCCATATTGTATAAAAACAGAGCATGTCATTTCATGTACATATTGAAGAGAGAACTCAACTGTGCTGCAGAAGAGCTGGTTTTAAACGTGCTTAGTTTCTGCTCATCAACTAGATGATTCTTGAGGCCTGTTGGCTCACTTGGAAATGAGGTATTTGTATTTGATAATGCCTAAAAGCCATTTCAGTTCTAATAATCTATATAAAGCTTAGGAAGGGAACTATTCTATTAATTTCTTAATGATGCAGCTTTAAGTTGTAGTAGAGGGAGAAACAAGGTGGTTTTCAAATTTTTATTTACATTTAGAATGGAATCAAGCAGTTAGGTGAGAACACTAATATGTAGCGGTGATATATTTTGTGATACCTTTTGTTGAAAGAAACAGTTTGGAAGGATGCCCCAAGTTTGTTTTTTCCCCCCTCACTCCTGGGCTTCCTACATAACCCTCCATTTCTAGAAATAAGGGGAAGAAATAAGGGCTTCCTACACAACCCTCCATTTCTAGAAATAAGGGGAAGTCTTGAGCAATTGGTTTCAAACTGGGCTTGTAAAACCCTAGAGTTCTACATAGCCTTTCAGAGAGTTTACAAACATTTGATGTGAATTTCCCTTTTTAATATATATATAAAACATGTATATCTTTATTTTAAAGTATAGTATTTATTTATTTAACAAATATTCACAGAATGCCTATTATATGTTGAGAACAGTCCTCAGGTCTCAGAATTCAGGAATATACAGAAACAGACAAAAATCCCTGCCCTCCATTAAATTTATATTCCAGTAGTGGTAGGAAGGAAGGAAAAAAGAAAAAGAAAGGAAGGAAGGAAGGAAGGAAGGAAGAAAGAAAGGAAGGAAGGAAGGAAGGAAGAAAGAAAGAAAAAAAAGAAAGAGAAAGAAAGAAAGAAAAATATATAAAATGAAAATTTTATAAGAGTAACAGGAAAATTAAGCAGAGGCTACAAAATCTATCAGAAGATTAGAGTACATCTGTCTGAAAAGATGTGGTTTAATAAAGACGTGAAGGAAGTGGGGAGAGAGCCAGAGGAATAGCAGATGCAAAGGCCCTAAGACAGGATGGACTATGCCTGGTGGGCTGAATCAAGAAGGCAATAGAAAGAGAAGAGGCTAGGGAAAGAATAGAGGTCTCTGACTTTAACACTTTAGAAAGCTTTAACCCCTTCATCAGTGCTATGTGGTCCAGTACTTTTATGTGAAGCTCACCTGTATTCTCTTCATATACATTTGAATATGGTACTGAACAAGAATGTTTATTTCTATACTAATCTTGTTCAAAATCAGGCCTGTAGCAGTCCATTCAAACAAAAACTATATATTTTTGGGACACCTGGGTGGTCAGCAGGTTAAGTGTCTGCATTCGGCTCAGGTCATGATCTTAGGGTTCTGGGTTCGAGCCCCATGTCGGGCTCCCTGTTCAGCAAGGAGTCTGCTTCTCCCTCTTCCTCTGCCTCTCCTCCTGGCTTGTGGTCTCTCTCTCTCTCACTCACTCTTTCAAATAAATAAATAAAATCTTAAAAAAAAAAAACTATATATTTTTATGGCAACACATGTGGTTTAT